GGCAGATGTTGCCTCTCATTCATTGACCAGCGATGACACGCTGCGCCTCGGGCCGTTCAGATAACGCACTGTAAGCGGCGTCACAACTGACTTCTTCACGCTAACAAGCTTTTCTGTATCAGCGTGTTTTATTGGCCGAGGCCTCGGTCCAAGGGAAATAAAAGCGGCCACGGAGAGACGCACACACAGACATGGGTTTGGATGGAGATGGTGAATGGAAAACAAGGCTTTCTTTGAGCAGATTTTAATTAGCAACGTTCATAGCTTGGCTGCGTGCTTTTATGATTGGCCCTCTGAAAGCCTTTTTGTTTGCCTCATGAAACACATCGAGGGGTATGTTCCCGAATTAAACTGCGTTTGTGTGTTTGCGCCTCGCACACGCCAGCGACCGCGTGTGCTTGCATCCGTTTCGTTTGCATGTATCTGTTATATGGGCGCTTGGCCGCATTGCTTTTTCGGGGGGGGTTGGACGTCCACTGGCGGGAATCAGAAGCCGTAGCAGGAGGTTGAGATGAAAGAAACGCCAGCGCTTTGTTTTTCCCTCCTTTCCAAAATAGTTGTTTTAGGTTGGCGGCCATCGGCCATGACTGCGCAGACGGGGTCAGGTATTCGCCTGTCCTGCTTGTGATTTACTATCCCGTCCGTGCCTCGGTAATCTGGAATGAGATCTGTGGTTGAGGGCCGCATAGATTGTGTAACACTCTGCATTCTGCTGGTTTCAGCGAGCGACTTCATAAACACGCGGCACACAGGACCCTGTGTGTCATCTGTGAAGCTTTGCCCCAGCAGGCTTGTCTTTCTATTTCTCATTTGACAAATTGGTACATTTGATGAAGGGTATCACCCAGGAGGGCGAATGCAAAACATAGTATTAAAGATTAATAGACCACTGGAAGACGAGGGATTTCTCATCCTTTAAAATTCAAATTACGGTCGAATAAAGAAATTCCAATAATATCATACTGTAATAAAAATAAAATAATTCAGCTCATTAGGGAAGGAGGTGTGTTAAATAGTTCTTATGTGTTTGTCGCAGTGATAAAAATGAGCGCTGGAGCTCCCCGTTACGTCTTTGAGTCGCAGTGTTTTTTTGCTAGAATTCCGCGCCGTCTTAACCCGGCTCTCAAATAGCAGTGGGCTACTCGGGCTATGAGCGGGGGGTCAGAGTGCACGGTCGATAGCTTTGTGTACTGCGAGCGTGAACAATGAGTTCTTAAGCACAATTTGTCGTGCACATGAATACCTCTGAACAGTTAAATGCTGCCATGGCAACAGCCCAGAGAGGGTAAGTGACATTAGGTGAGCTGTTTGCAAGAAAGCGATCCTTCGGAGTGACAGTGTGCAAGTGTGTGTGCGTGTGTGTGTGCGTGTGTGTGTGTGTGTGTGAGCGTAGGTCAACATTTTCACCGTATCACCACACAAGCCTTTCGGGGCTGACAAAAGCACTCTTGTGCTGCAGGATTGGGGAAAGTTACTAATGCTGGCAGGATCATAATCTAAGTCACATTGCAGGGAGGCAGCAGCGGGCTTTGACAGTGCAGGGATGTATTAGGAGCAGAGACCATACAGGGGGTATTTCATCATTAATAAAACAAAGAATAAAATTAAAAATGTCTTCTGAAATTTACCAATTAAAAATCGACTAGACATTATTACTTATAGAGCGTGTTTAAATATAACTACAACTAAAAGCTAGTATAGTATGTCCACGACAGACCATTATTAATAAAGATAAGTCAAATGCATCACTGTTCAAACATTAATTCAATGTTCTTACATTGTTTTTCTTTAATTGCCTGCTTTGTACTTCCGGAAAAGCGATGGAAGTGGAAAGCTTCCGCTGCAGAGCTGCTGTCCATTGTGTGCACGTCACGCTGTGAGGCATCGCTATGCGACCCTTTGCCATCCGTTCTGCCTGCGGTGTCCATTGTGAGAAGGTCAAAGTGTGACACGGGAAGTGACAGGGGGGGGGGGCGGGACATACAGGTATGCCCACGTCGGCTTTGTAGGATTCTTTTCTCCTGAGAGGACAGAACATTCTGGCAGGAGCCTGAGCACCTTCCAACTCTCGTATACAAACACGCCGTGCCGTCCAGGTCACATTGTAGCCCTCAATAGTTCTTAAAGGAAAAAGCAATCAATCACCGATTTTATAAACCGTAATCAACCCCGGGAAAATGAAAGACAAAATATCAAACTGATGAGAGGATAATCGACTGGGATATCCTGAGTGGGTCTCCGAGGGGGTCGCGTCACCGCGGCGCGTCTGCTGGATGCGATGTTATCGGGGACAGCTGCGTGCGGCGGGGCCGGGGGGCTCTCGCCGAGCCAAGAGGTTGGCCCAGTTGCCAGCAGATCCCCTCCGCCGAGACCCCACCTGCTTCACATGTCCATTTGTCCTCTAAACCCCTCAAAGGGATTCCCTGAGTCCTCTTCTGTGTCCGCTGGCCCCCGGGTCTTTGAAGCCATGATCCTGTGTGTTTTCATGGCATTGAAGTGGTTATCCGACGGTCGCGTCGTGTCATGCGTTTGATCCAAAGGTTTTGTTTGAAGTTTTATGGGCAACTTTTAATGTAACCGTTGGGCTCAGGCCAGACGTATTAGATCCGTACAAACCGATGCGGCTATTGCATCGCCCCAACGGCCTCTTCGTGAATCTGATTTCACGGTTTGTGGGAAGGGTCAGTGGCATCGAATGGTTGTCAGTAGCTGGCATGCGCTGGGCACTGCCACTAATTTAATTAGAAGCCCTTGAAGAAGAAGCCCAGCCTAACCTAATACCATCAATTAGGGGTTGCTCTGCCATCCGAACCAGAATCCCACACCCCGTCAGTGTGATTCATACGGGAAAATATGCCTCTTTGTCTTCGAGGTCAACCAGCTCTTCAGGGAAAGCTGGCGCGCGCTCAGGAAAACCGTAGTTGCGGGTGTAGCAGTGGGAATCGCTCTACTAGATAATCCATAGCGTGAGGTCATCCTCCATGAGAACTTGTGTGTTTTCATCTCAGCTTATCACACACGTCTTTATAGTGCAGCAGCTGGTCTTACGGGGACTCGTGTGCTCGTAGCATGAGAGCATATGCAACAAGAACCTCCCTGCTTGATAAAGACAGAGAGGCTTTTTTCATTCATTCTTTCCAACGTGTGCTCACGGCGTAGTTGCTCCGAGGCTCAAGTCGTGTTACTTCTTTGTGCTGCAGCCTTAGCGCCCGTGCTAAAGGCGCTCGCGCCGTCACAAAAGTGCTGGGCAGCGATTCAAATCGGCGATAAAGCTCAAAGTCACTGTGACCGTTTTTTGCTCAATACACACGTCTAATAGGACGACATTATGAAGAGTGACCGTTTTTTGGACAGACATGGAAAGAGACGGGAGCCCGACCGGTTTGTGATGGCGGCGGTTCTTGTGTTTGTGTTACCTCGGGCATTGCGGGGACCTTTGATTTACGAGGCCTATCCAAGATCTAGATCCGGACTGTTTTGGAGCGACGGATGCAAAGAAGCAATCTCACGACGTGACGTTTATATTATATCAGTTTTTGGAAAGCGCGAACAATGCTCCAGGCAAAGGAGCAGAAAGCCCACCTGGCTCGGCTCTATACCTTTAAAAAAGGTTTCACTTTAACGTTTACAAGTCTGCGACTCAATAAAGGTCTCCATCCAATTTAATCAGTTCCCCAGATCGGATCTGTCCCCCGTAGTTTGACGGGGTACTCAGGCCTTCTGTCCGCTGCATGAAGTAAAGCCCTCTCCCGGCCAACAACGTACCATCAACTCTTTCAGCGTCATGAAGCAATGCAGAAAAATGTCACATTGTGCCAATTCGGCAATAGAGTTACGCGGACCTGGACGCGTCGCCGCGCTGTCCCTGTTCAGCAGTCAAAGTAACCGCACACAAACCATCACCAACCCTTCTTTATCGAAGCCGTATGCGGAAGGTTCCCGGTGGACTGGAGCTCGGGTTTTCTGAGTGGCAGTGTTCTCCCCAGCGCTCTCCTCCAGGCAGCGCTCCCCCCCCCCCCCAGCAAGACTCCAGCGGTGCTCACCATGGAGACTAAAACGCTTTTTGGCTCACGCGGAGAGGATACCTCATGTGTGTGTGTGTTTGTGTGTGTGTGTGCGCGAGAGTACGTACGAGTCACTATTAGGGATGTTTTATCATTTCATAATGAAATGTGAGCAGCATGTGTGTTGGATTAGGTGAGCGAGGAATGTCGCACCGTGCCATTGGTTATGATCGTATACGCTCACGGTATCACCAGATACCCTGCGGCCCTTTGATTTACCTTAAAGTCATGCAAAGATTTCTATGAACCTTTGCTTGGGTCGTCTTGTGAGTTTTGACACTACATCACTACGGTCGGGAATGTTCCTCTGTGTCTGCGGCCTTTTGATGGAGGATTTAATTACGTTTTGATTAGCCCCCTCGTTACCACGGCAATATTGCAATGCTGCTTCCTATCAAATGTATTCCGGGCTGGAAGGGAAGAAAGATTACATTTACTGTTTTTAATTTTGAACCAAAAGTTGAGCTGGGACATCGGCGGCCCAGCAGAGGAGATTAAAATGTCTGTGACTTCCCCGTTTTTTCTGCGAAAAAGATTTGGAAATTTAGACAGGAAGTGGCGGCTTTCCCTGAAACCTAATGTTTCCTCTGGGACCTGCACAATTTTGACACTGTTTATCAACTTCATTCCATCGACTTTCGCTCAGTTTTCGACGTTAGAGAATCCATTTAGCTGAGACCGTTGTGTTCTCAATCATCGTTTTTTCTGGCAGTGAATTTCTGGAGGCCTGTTGATAATAAACCCACCAAACCATTATCAGTCCCCCGTGTGTTTTCCTACTAGCAATTATTCATACTGAAGAAAGGGCTCTGGCATTACCTCCTCCTGAACTGTGCAAGGATGTATAATGTATGATGAGGCTCACGAAGTGGTGCATCTCCAAACCAGTCCATAGAGTCTTATTCTCATCCAGGTTTTTTTTTGTCTGTCCCCAAGGTCAGAGTCGGGGATCTCCAAATTTACCCACCGCCTGTCTCTCAAAGAGCGCGTGGCCAAAGCAGAGAAGACCTCCACGGACAGACCTCCATCCTACAGAAGACGCTCTCTCAGCGTGGACTGGTAGGACCAACGGCCGTCTCTTAATCTGCTAACTCAAATTCATCATCGTCCCCAAGGTTCTTGCGGTTGCCTTCGACCTTCACGTCTCCTCCTCAGACTGTGAAGATTATGAAACAAGACTTCATCTGAAGCAGCATGTGGATTCAAAACTGGGCCTTATGGCCTATTTTGGCGATTGGACAGCTGGTGTTTGGGGAGGGGGGGGCGGAGATCAGGGGGGGTGTTGGGTCCCTCCCCGTCTCTGCGCTCTGGGTTTCGTTGGAGAGCGGCGAGCAACTCGCAGTGGCGCCGGCTAATCTCGCTCTTGTAAAGCTC